CCGAGTGATTAGGCGATGTTTTTCTCCCATTCTTTTTTCCTCTGTTTTTCTTTTTGCTGCCGCAATCCCTTATTTAACTTCCTACTCCTAGAGGCTGAAAAAGGTGAGTTACTTTTGTTGTTACTAGGGGTTTTTTGTTTATCTATGCTCATAAGTGAATGAATTTTTTCTTACCGTTGTCTGTTATTCGCACCAGGACCTACACGCGCGCAGTGAAACACATTGTTTAGCTCGTCCGGACGCCCCACTCTTCTTCATTTTTCTGGTTTCACTCTCGTCCAGCCCCGTTTACGGTTTTTCGAAGCTTTTTTCACTTTGGGAGCACCGATGCACGCAGTTTCTTCACCTCAGTCGCACTAGTTTCGATATTGTCTTCCATTTTTCATCATAATCTGTATTACTCAAATTTATCGTGAACTGTGCCTCTAATCTCGTTCCCGAACTGAGCGCTTTGATTTTCTTAAGCAAAATTTTTGTTTTTTGTTCGGGACGTTTTTTGTCATTTAGTTTAGGTTTCGTTTATTTGAGAGTATTACCTTTGTTATTTAGCTGGGACACAAGCTGGAGTCATATCGAGACTACTATTGGAACGTTTCCTTGATAGATGAAGAATAGAAAGGTCTATTTTTTTAATCTTACCTCAGTTTGTTTTTCACTGTTGTTTATTCTTGCCGGGATTGCTACCGAATAATCAGCTATGGTAGCGTTTTGTGTTAGAAAGTTCAACCTCAATGTATCGTGCAATTTTCATCTGTATGTTGTCTCCAAGGATCGTTCATCTTCCTCCCCATGCGGGTTGTTCTTACAATCTCAATACCGTATGCTTCGCCAGTTTGTTTGTTTGAAATGTTCTAAAATATGTTTGCTCTGAGACTCAATTGCTTTATTGGGCTCGATTTCTTGTGTTCCCTTTCCTGAGATTTCAACTTATGAGCGATCCTTCAATTGCCGTTGTACGCTCAGGCTGTATCTAACCACATATGTCATTTGTTTTGTTATTGTTCAAATATTGTGAAGATGAATTTTTACATATTAGGCTACATTATGTACAGTAAACAAAAACATCAACATCGATATCAAGCTATGTCGGTCCCAGAGGTGCTATCGATCCGCAATTGTGCTTTTGAAATTTTTGGATTATTAGGAATAAAAGGCAGACTCCTGAGGAAAGGTAGTGAGTGGAATATCCTGAAAGATGTCGTTGTGAAGGGACCATTCTTCTGTTTTTTTTACTCTTCCAACCATTTGAAAAATATGGTTAGTTTCCAACTTACCTGCTTGTCCACTTGGGAAAAGTATAAGCATCCTCATCATCAATGTTTTCCTCTCCATGATAACCATCGGACCCCTGTAGTAGACCACGCTGTTGCAAAGTGGCTCCTGAATAGCGAATAAATTATAATTAGTAGCGAATAGGCTTCTGTGCTGTGTAATTATTAGTACTACTAGCTTCATGTCCGCGTGCGATTGCGTCGCGGCACACCAAAATGATCGATAGGCGGGGTTTTCGTCTATGCAACTAACCTACTGTGCGAAAAGCGAATAAAAAAAATTAGTGATACAGGTAGATGGGGTTCACGATTAATGTGAATAGGGTAACATTTCATGGGTAAATCAGTAATATTCAACGTAAACATGAGTGTTTACCTGGCACGGTGTTGTCCAGAATCACAGCCACTACACCTCCAACAAGCATTTTTATGCTTAATAACATGTTGACAATTTGATCCCATTCTTGGTTACCTGAATCAGGGACTTCGATTATATCCATAGCCATATAGTAATAGGGAGCCAACAGCCATCTCAGCTCCATCACTTTGGACTGAATCGTATATTCAAACCTGAATTAAACGGCGATCTTTCGAGGTGAAGAGGAAGTACTAGTCCAGCCATCATTGACAGACCCAGTATAGACAGATTTCGGGTCAACTTCAGATCAACCAACTGAAATTAATGAGTTCTTTTACATTTTGTAGCTACAGGAGCTGTTTTT